AAAATTTAATAATCCAATGTAATTCTGATATTTAGTAATATTATGAGATGGAAGTTGTTATATTCATTTAAGTTTCTATACAAAATGAAAATGTTTTGGAGTCAACATATTTTCCTTTTTTTTTGTTATTTTAGGATATAAAACATATTTTTCAAACTTTAATGAACGTAGAATAAGTATTGCATTGCTTTATATTTTTTAAATGACTCATAATAATTTTAAAGAGCAAAACATTTTTTTAATTCAATATTTTTACTTTATTTAAGGCATTTTTTGCGCAATTTTTGGATTTTTAAGGGCATTTTTTGCCCTTTTTAAGGGCATTTTTTGCCCTTTTTAAGGGCATTTTTTGCACTTTTTAAGGGCATTAGTTGAGACTTTTTAGGTCATCAAAATCCGGGCTCTATTTATGACAATCTAAAAAATAGAGTGTAGATTATTTCTTTCATTTTTTTTGTGAATACTTATATATAAATTAAAATATTATTTCACCGTAATACATTTTTTGATGTGAATGATGTAAATAAATCAAGCTTATATATTGATAACAGCAATTCTATAATGATAGCATAACTTCTATTTTTTATGCCCAACCAAATGCATACCTATTAGAAGTTAAAATAAAAATCAAATTAATTCTTATAATTATAATTCAAATGCTACAAGTATTGGAATTTTTGTACCAGAGAAAGGTTTCTTGCTTTAAGCAATTTAAAGGGGAAAAAATAGAGCATATCATAACTTAAAAATAAAATAAATCAAATTCTGTATTCATAATAGAACAAAAAAAATATCCTTAAATTTAAACTTCGAACTAAATTTTATAATTAAAATGAATATAGTTTATATTTTTAAAATTTATCTATTATACAACCATAATGTGAAACAAAAACCAATATTTCCTTAATTGAATCTACCAATTGTTGTAGGTAGGTACTTTATTAACGTTGCGCTAGAGTTGCGCAATGGGCTATTGGCGACGGTCTGGGAAACATCCCTGAAGATGATCCGAAAACATGCCATCGCAATTTCGATCCTCTGCAGAGGGAATGGCTCCCCTGCTCTGGTAGTTCGACGACCTGTGCGCGAAGTCATGCACTTTACGGTAGAACATTTTAACGAGCACCGATACCTCGCACTCTCAGTCCCAACGCAAGCTGATCAAAGTGGTCACAAATCCGCACACTGACCGCAGCCAGTGATGCTTGACTTCGGTGTTCTACTGGGAACCGTGTCTTAACGATCAGTCCACTAACCAATTGTTGTAATATCACACTATTCGTTTGGGAATTTCATCAATAAATTTTTTCAAATTCGCATTCCATATCTATGATTTTAGTTCGAAGGTAGGCTTAAACAGAAAACATTTAACAGCTATAAACAGCGAGCTTGTAGCTTTGTATTTGTAGCGTTAATAACGCCAACGTAATGTAAGGATACGCAGCATCTAAAATGAACGCGATCACACCCATGCGCAGTTGCTTCAAATCTTACATACGGGACAGTACGGAAACTAACGTAAAAGTGCGAAATCTCCCTAGTAAACGAACCCGTGTCGTACTCGGGCTGAGCCCGTTTCATCTCTATAGTCAGCATGTCTCTGAATGATTCAACAGCCAAGGGAAAGAGTTAGCTAGTGAGTAAGTACTTTTTTTTAAATTTAGACATAACATAGATCATAAGAGTGTACTACAGCAATTTGTACTTGCCGTTTTGTCCACGACTTATTTCGCTCATGGGCTGCAATAGTGGCACAACTCAAAAACGACACGTTTTGGACTAAGAACAGGTGTAAATATGAAAATACACATTCTTTTTGCAGCAGTACTAGCACAACTCATAAATCAACTTGAAGGTAATCTTCATTTAAGCAAGCTAAAGCATTTCTTATGCATTTTGCTTAGCAATGAAAACTTTAAACCCACTTATCTCATAACTTGATTTTTTGAGTTGTGCCTCTATTGCAGCCCATGAGTGATTTGTGTGCTTATATACCTCTTGACAAAAAAGACATATACTGCGATAAAGTTTAAACCAAGCCTGTAAAGTTCGAGTAAAAAAAAATTGCTCAACTCCGATTTCAGTTAGTTAAAAATTGTGCTGTTAATGGGTTAAAAAAAAGAAAAGAAGGTTTTGATCTTTTAATAGTTTTAAACAACTTCAATACTTTGTACAAATATATGATCGAAAAATTTACTTTCTCACTCTATATGTTGTAATAAAAAATATAATTTTAAATGAAATAAATACTAGTTATGGGTAAAAAACAAAATTACTAACCTGAAATATAAAAAAAAAAATTGAAGTAATAATACTTTTCCTGCATTTTGGTGAAAATTTTAATAAAGTACAAGTATCGTCGTAAAGTATAAGTTAGTAGGAAACTCCACGGCTATGGCTTAAACTACATTAAATGTGATCATTGAAAATTTTTATTAAACAAAATACTAAAATGTAACTTGGTAATTTGCGTAATGAAATCATTAAAACTCAGTTATTTCAAATATTTATTCCCTTAATATTACAAAACTATAAAATGAGATATGTACACAATAAATTATAATGAACAGCATTTTCTTTCATTTTAATCTGGTAATTGAATTAAGCTCAATACTTTTTCAAATGTCAAAGTAGAATTTATAAAGGATTACTCCAACACACGTCTTTTTAAGCAAAAATTATGAATAATAATTCAAATACAGCTTCTTTCAAACTGGAATATATAAATGATAATTCGAGTTTAATTTCTCTTAAAAGCTCGTTTTTTTAAGAACCAATCTGGCTTATTTTTGTAAAGGTAGATAGTCTAAAGATATGGCGAATTAGGCATAAGCAAAAGATAAGGAGTCCAAACGTAGAACCCTACTTCTTAAATTGCTCATTCGTCCTCTCATATTTTGGTTAAGAATCCAAATCTGTAAAAGAAAAGGTGTAATGTTAACCGCAAAGTTGCGGTTAACGCATTTGAGTTTTTACGATTGGTTTTTAGTACGTAAAAATTTTATCTTCAGATCATTCAGAGTGATATCTTTATTTATTTATTTCATTTTTGTGGAGGGAGATCACTAATACATCTTGAACACAATGACCTTCCTAAAATAACAAAATAAAACATCGAAAGGTTTTTTTCTCTGTAAAATGAGGTTTTCGTAAGCAATGCCGTTATCCTAGCCGGCTTGCAATGCCTGCATCAAACTTGTCCATGCTATCGTGTGATACCACATTCTTCCTCCCAGTTGACAGGGAAAAAAGGTTGGGCGGATTTTGTGAAAAATTCTAGTGGACAATATTCCTCGCAGCCATGCAGCTTTAAAATGTGTGGTGTTTGATTTCCAAGTTCAGGCTCGGTTGAATTAAGATACAATAACCTTACGAAGTTAGCATTGTCTGTGCCTCTGTAGAGTTCAAACAATAGTGTCGATGCGTATGGAGGTAACTTCAGAGGAAAGATGTCGAATATCTCCAAAAGTAAGGCTAAGTTATCATCATGCTGCAAGGGGAAAAAAAGCATTAAAAATTTTTTACATTTAAAAACATTAAAATATTAACTCATTTTTCTAAAATTGTTGAATAAGCAATTCATCAGCGAGCAACTGAATTAATAATTTCATTTTATATAGTCTACATTCAACAGTTCGAGATCGAGTTTGCTTCTATCAATGTTCCTCTTCGTAGCATCATCATTTTCAAGAGCCTTTTGCATTACTGTAAAAGGAGAGGCCTATATTTTCTCGAGAAGAACTTTCCGGTAGACCTGATATTTAATAACCTTCACTATTGCTTTTTTTTTATAGCCATCGTTTAACAGCCGACCCAATTTCATGGGTTAACGACTACTAATGTTCAACTCCGTAGCCTTGCAATTTTGAACCCAATCCAGAAGACAAGGGAACTCCCGGATCTAATATTGGGAGAAATTTGCCTTCGTGGAGGACTTTTTGATGGAGCAAACCCGCATTTGTGTTACATGGAAAGGAAGACCACGAGAACCTCCTCCGGTCAGCCTGACGGCAAGGGACTCTAACCCATGATCCGTCTACCACTGAGGATATTTTACGTCAGCACTGTGGTCGGTGCAAGCCGGATGCGGAATTCGTATCGACTAGGATTCGAACCCGGTTCGCCTCATTAAAAGGCGGACACTCTGTCCCCTGAGCCATCTCGGCTCAGTCTTCACTATTAGTAATATTATTAGGTATTTTTACTTTAGATTGTAAAAATTAATTAATTAAAGCTCCCTGCTCCCTATACTGATCCTCACAAAGTTGCTCAACGCAATGATTTGTCATTGGACATTCTGGTGATAGATGAACCAGTTAGAATCAGCCTAAATAGAAAAAAAGCCAGCTTCTGTTTTAAAAACATTCGACATTCTGGTGAAATATAAACAAGTTAGAGGCAGCATAGATAGAAAAAAACCAACTTATATCTTGACAATTCAGGATATTATTTTAAAGAAATCTTAACTGACACTTCATTAGATATTAAGCCGGCAGAGCAAGAGACACGCCACAATGAAAAGAAATTCTATTCATCACCAGATCCTGTAGTTTTAGTAAAAACTAGATCTGGAAGACCCTTGCAGTTTCCAGCTAAATACAAACACTACTAAAATTTTTTCCAGGAAAAGGAATGATGTGGCAACACTTATTTTGAGATCACTATTTTTAGGGTTCACTTAAGCATAAAAATATTGAAGTTAATTCCTGTAGCAATTAACACGTTAATTCCAGTAGCGGGTCAAATGTCATTTGAAGTATGCTTGGTATTAAACATCTGTGTCTCTTATAATATCATATTTATATCTCGTTAATAAAATGTGTATAATTTTATAATATTTTTATTTAATTGTTGCGATACTTAACTAGTTATTAACTAAGGCATATTCTGAAGTGTAGACTCAGTTTTTTACATTATTTTAAAAAATTTTGAAAAGAATATTATATTGAAAACTTACTGTTGAAAATATTTGAAACTTGAGATCAGGAAGCTTACCATCAATTTTTTCGTTCATAATTTCTATCAGTTTTTTCATCAGGGGTCCTTAAAATGAAATGAATTTTAAATAAATATTTCAAACAGTGGATAGTATTGTTTTATTTACTCAACCAATTTTAAGCACTATTAATTGAATTAGTTTCGTAATTATGAATGTTTATATAACATTATGGCCATTGAAAAAGCTGATATTTTTTAAAATAGTACAAAAAATTTAAACATATCGAAAAATTTAACAAACATATTTCAAAATGATTTTCTTAAAACTAAATTACATAAATAAGATCACGCGTAACAATTTTCGATACTTTTCGGTGTCGGGAGACCATTAAAAAATTTCTAAATATTATTGAGACCAAAGATGCTTAACCTAAATTTACCTCTAAATAGTATTAATATTCTTCTTATTTATTCGATTTAAATCATTTTAAATTTAAAAAAATTATTGAATCAAAAGCATGGAAAATAAAAATTGAAGAAATTGAGGCAATAAAATGCCTAGCAACATTTTCAAATTGTTCAAATCGTTTAAAAACAACACAATTACCATATATGCTTTGCTTTGAGTATTACCACCTATGCAAAATGATATCAATATATCGTATTTCCATGTGTAAACTAGACCTTTTTAAAAAAGAAAAATGTTTTTTTATCTAGATTTTAAATGTTTCAAAAGTTACTCCCAATATACATTATCGAGACTCATAAAAAATGCAAAAGTTAAAAATTATTCATTGATATTAACAATTATCATGTAGGCAGAAAAACCATCCCAAGTGAAAGACTTCTTAAAATTTATATAATTATTTAAATACTTAAAACGTTTATCCGAATTTAAATCTTTTCATTAAGATGGTATAAGAAGTTAAAAAGCTTTGTTTTGTTTTAAGAGTTAAGTATTGAAACTGTAAGCCAAAAAAAAAAAATTGAAAAGGAAAAAAAAACATAGAAATATAGACATAGAAAACATATTAACATAGAAAAAAAACATACAGTTACCTCCTCTAAGACGCTTCATAAGATAAGATTTGTACCACCAATAATATGATTCATCATACACTTCTTGTAGTTCGTCCCAGTATTTATGGGCCCAAACAGGAATGGTCAAATTATATTTATTCTTCCCATGCAAAAGAAAGAGATTATTTTTTTAAATTAGGTACTTGTAACTTGAGAAGAAGTGAAGTGATTACGCCTAACAATGTGATTTAAATCAGATTTAATTGGATACCTGCAAGTGACGTCACGCGTGTGTGTAGAACCTGATTGGCTTCCGAATCGACAAATGTCACGATTTACCCGCAATGACGTCACTTGCAGGTATTTGTATATGTATTACGCAAAAATCATAGAAAGGATTCTTTTTTGATATTTAAGATTGATTTCAATTTTTAAATTGGGCCTTCTAAAATGATGGATAACATCGCATGTTTCTATTAAAATAATATCGATGTGAAGTCTTACTTCATTTATTGGTAATTTGTTGTGCTAATTCTATGTAGAGAGAGAATTTACTGAAGTGTCGCTATACATTCACAAATTAAATATTTAAGAATAAAAATATATTTTTTATTTAAATAAATAATTTATTCTAACAATGTTTTTAACATCAAAAATAATCTAGAATAAATCAAATATGGAAGGATATTTATGACCCTGGAATGAGAGAAAATTAAAGAAAATAATGTATATAACAATACTGGGGCTAATAATGGCTGTAATGGCTATAGTTAATATATATTTTTAGAATATATGTTTTAGGTAATATATATTTTCAAAAATGAAGTAAAAATTAGGCATGGTAGGGGTCACAAATTAATATTATAGAGGAAATAAAGAAAAAATTAATCGTAATATATCGAATCACAAGTGAAAAAAGTCGTTAGTGAAACTCGAAAGTGTTTCGAATAATAATACTTCAACTCCCCCCTCTGTTTCTATCGTCAAATATGTTTTGGCATTTTTAACTCTCGTCTTTTTCTACAGTGTTTCCTATCGTTTTGGTTTTCATTCGCCTTAATATTAATTTTCGATTACTAACGTGTCTAATTTTTGACTTCATTTTTGATGAAGATTCTAAAGTTATATCGTAGCGGTGACCGTTGCAAAATACCCAGCATAAAATTATTCTGTAATTGAAAAACTTATTTTTAGTTTTAGTTAGGTTTTCGCATGTTGCATATTAATTCAATCTTGCACGCACTTTTTATCATGCAGTGTTTAAAACTGCGCAGCCGGCTACGTAATAATATACATCTGCAACGCAACTTTAATACAATGTTCAGAACTTTCAATTAGCTTGTGTTTTTCATCCTTAAATACATATTTTATCTTCGTTCAACACTGTAGTACCTCTTAAAGCACTTTGAAATGTTAGGGTTGAAAAATCTCTTTTACACTCACTAAAAAAAGGGTTAATTATACGAAAATTACCGAAAAAAAGGCATATTTTTTAATTTAAAAAGAGTAGATCATAGAATATTACAACAAAAACCATAACTGAAAATTAATCATTAGAATTATAAAGATAGTTCTGTAATGGGCAACTGTTATGTATATTTTTAAAATCCTTTTAAAAAAGAAAGTGAAAAAGTATACACATCAGGAATCGCAAATTATTAATTAATTGGTATTCTTGATGTGCATAATTTTTAAGGATAAAAACGCTATAGATATCAAACGAATCGCTACAAAAGAAAGTGGGGACTGAAAACATCAGAACCTGTTTAATTGCTGAAAAAAGTAGAGAGAAGTTGGATTGGCGTTGATTAGAAACACCTTCAAGTTCAACCTTCAACTGGTTTTATTTTCCGTCATGACTTTTTTACAAAAGAGGCGAATGTTTCCACATCGCTTTTGCTTCTTCTTCACTTAAATAATATTAACGTGTGACTCCTAATGTGATTATTTTTTGCATCATTTCTGAGAAAATTTCGATAACTGTGCATTAAGGGTGGTGATGACGGACCACACGGTAGATAATATAAAAGTTCTTACTTCTACAAATAAAGTGTCGAACAAATAGTACGCTGTAATCCAGTCTGTGATGGGCGTTCCACTGTAAAATGTCAAGTAATCAAACATTTCCTAAGTAATAATCAAAAGATTTGAAATGCATAATTAATAATAATTGATTAATAAATGTCAATAATATAAAAAGCAGCAAAAACAAGATTATTATACATTCTCATAACTTAATTTCTCACGTTATTATCATTTTTCTTTGAGCAAAAATAGGTCTTTATCCTTAAAACTATCAATTCATTTAAGTTTGTTTATGAAAGTTGAGCTTTTTTTCATCAATATGAGCTAATATCACGAAAATAAAATTGAGTATGCACATTTTTTTATTTTATTTTATTATTAATGTACTTCAGAGTGCTTCAAATCTCATGAGCAAATTGTGTTAAAATATATTGAAACCCACTATCTGGCAAGCTTTTTAAACCACAAAAAATTAATTGTGATTTTTACCTTTGTTGAAGACGCAAGTGCATCAACGCAAATGCAGTGATTATTTCGTCTTTTATTATTTCTTACATCATTCTTTTGTTGGAAACGCATATTTGTTTTATGTATGTATTTTGTGTACCTTTGTCATAGTAAAAGAGTTCGTTCTATGAGATACTTGTTTTAGTGTTTAATTAGAAAACATTTACGTTTATGCCATCACAACCTTCCAGCATTTTTAACTAACTGAAGAATCTTCTGGATCTTATCTCCCCCAGAGGCACTTAGAGAGTGCTTAGGATTTTAGCCACCCTGGGCGAAACATTAAGGCATTTTGTCATGATTAATAAAAATCATATTTTGTTTAATAAAATAAATATTAAACATTGAATTTTCTTTATTCCAATCAGATTTTTTTTTAAAATTGTTTTCGCGTTTAACGATTTGACAAACTGTATAAATAGTAACTCTATAATAGTAGTGTTAACAATAATACTGCAACTAAAATTCTTAATATCTCTAATAATAAAAAGTTTATTATTATTTAATTATTGTAAACTAATTACTTAATCTGACTTACTAAGTCAGTTATTATATCTTATCATACTAAGAGACATTAATAAATTTCAAAAACAGAGAACCAAGCTGTCTCATGAAAAGTAAACTAATTTAAATCCGAAAGTATTTTCAAAAAAAAAAAAATAATAATAATAATAATTCTTCTTGACAGAGCAAGTCTTTATTTACAAGTATATATTTAGTAAGTTTTGACATTACTTGTATTGAAATAAATGTGTATAAAATGAAATGGGTATAGTTGAAATGTATTAATGGGTAATAAAATAGTAAATGTGACACACTACAGTGAGCACATTAAAACATGAAAATGATGTGAAATGAATAACGAAAAATTATAATTTAAAAGTTACATTCTTATCCACATTCTTATCTACATTACTTAAAAAAAGGAAAGATTTCGTTTCTTGATTCTGTGAATAAAACTTGAGATTTGATCTCAATGGTTCATTATCACAGTCTTAAGTAATTACATGTTAGTTAATGGAGTATTGTATAAATAATATATTTTAGATAAATCTGTGATTTGAAAAATATCATGTGATTCAAATCAAGGTTTGTTTTTAAATTAAATAGTTTTTAAATCATTCCAACTTTGATTTTTATTTTTTTCGACATTTTCCACTGCAGTTCTTGGAGATTGCTCTCCATGCACACTCACAAATCGGCAACAGTTGAAATTTTTTATGCAATTAATTTCTACGACATAAAAGTTGACCAAAAGTTCCATGTTGTTATTTGGAAAATTACACTCCTGATATAAAGGAACATTAACTGAAATTAAATTCACATATGAAAATATAAATTATAATAACTATTATAAATTATGTATCCAAGGAATAGTAAAACTATATCCAAGATTTAGCAAATGTAAAGAAAAACTTGTAAGAAAACTATTAATCGCCAACACGCCAAGAATAAGATGGTGAGTTCACATGGATATTAAAACGTATCGCTATTTGTTTCAGAACGGTTGAGTAATACCATATGCCAAACCTCATGCCTCAGGTTGTCGTAAAATACATTGAAACACGCAACCATTTTATACCACAAGGAAATTAATTGTGGTTTTTGCCTCCCAGCATTTTTAACTAGCCAAAGAATATTCCGGGATCTTATCTCCCATAGTGGAATAAGATAGTGAGTTCACGTAGTTGTTGAAACATATGAAGATAGACCCGCGATCCATGTGCTATCATATGGCACAGGTTCTTGACCACTAACTCAATAGGGAATAAACTTTTCTACATTCTAAACGGCTCGTGATGGAGAACCTTCGGTAAATTTATCTTTCGAACACCGTAACTTCTTTGTGGTCAAGAACTTGTGTCAAGATGTCACGCGTCAAAACTCGAAGCAAAAGTTGCTAGTGGGAGGCCTTACTTTCCGCCAAAGATAGAGAGAATGAATTTCGTATTAAACCTATAAACATGAATGAAATTTTGCACTAAAATAGTTGACGAGTATATAAATGAGGTACCTTATGCTTCGCAATATAAGCTTGACCATCCGGGGAGTTAATTATTCTTTTCTCCTCCGCATCTGTTGTAGGACAGAAGCTCCCCGTGTCTAAATCCTTAAAGAGTATTTATATTAGTAGAAAAATAATTTATTTTCGAGGCGTAACCAGCTTAGGAATCAAAAGAGAATGAATGAAGTTGAGATTACAAAACATTAAAGTGGACATTAAGCAATAGACGCAACGTTTTGTTCGTCTATATCTAAATAATCAACTTTTATAATTTAATATTTTAGAAAGAAACTATTCGACCGATTTCGTCCAAATTTTCTATTTTGTCATTCAAAATTACGCATTTTAAAATGATGCAGAAATTTGCCGTAATTTAAATTTTTTTTTCATACTCAACAAGTAAAATAATAAAAAATTAGTAAATATTTTTTTTAAAAAAGCATTCTTTTTTACGTGGTCATCTTTGAATAAACAAATTTTATAATTGCGTGAAAATTTGTTGAATTCACCTAAAAAAATGAACTTCGACTTTCGAATTTGTATTCTATTTTTTTTTTTTTTTTTTAATANTATGTTTATTTTTTTTTTTTTTTTTTAATAATTTTCGCCTGCCTAAAACTATTGGGACCATAGAGCTGAAATAAAAGTAGAGCAAGCGTTCTCTGTTATATATCCCCGTCCCTCTCCGCCCCTAACATCAGAGCCCCCCTCTCTCTCTTTCAGCAATTTTTTAGGGAGAGAGAAGGACATCACGTGACAATTGAAATGTGTTACGTACTTATACAAGCAATAGAGGAAAGTTAAAAGCTTCAGCAGCTATAATAGACAAACAGGAAAATGTTATAAGATTTTTCGGCAAGACGACTGATTTAAAAATAATTTTGGAATTCCAATTTTTTAATACGTTTAAGCTGTACAAAATTGTTTACATTTCTACAAATTAAGAAAATCTCAATTTTTGAATAATTTTAAAAACGGTAAAAAGGCTGTGATAACCACTTATGGGTACTTTTTTAGTTTTGCAAATGGTTTAAAATATTAAAGTGTTTCACATAATTGACACTAGCAAAATAAATTATTATAACAGGAGTTAAAAATAAAAGTATTTTCTATTAAACTTCTAAGTTTTAAGATTGCGAAAAAAAGAAAAGTACTTCCTAATTTACTAATAATACTTTATCTTTGTTAAAATTTATTTTAATAAAAAAATTTTCATGCTTAAAAAAAACTACAATTAATTCAAATAATTTTTATTATTGAAAGTTTGTTCACTTTTATTAATTATTCTTGTGGTGCATAATTTATAAATTATAAAGTATGTATTGCATATTAAAATTCATCGTTAGAGAACGATTTAGTTAAAAAGTTTTTTATTTAAGATATTTTTTTTATGCATTTATAAACTAGATTTATAATTTAACATTGCGTATGTGTTTTGTAAAAGACAGTTTCCTGAAACATATATTTTTCATTTTTACAATATATTGTAGTTAATCCATAAACTAATTTTACCGAGAATATAAATTTATTATATAATTATTTATGATGATTTATAACTTGCAGATATATATACAGATTAATAACATTACATGGATGGCAATTAAAGGACAGTAGAATTTTAAAAATAATATGACTTTTATGCAAATTCTCTGTCAATGCGTAAAATATTTACGCATAATTGATTTCAGAGTTTTTTTTTTTTTTTTTTTTTTTTTTTTTTTTTTTTTTTTTTTTTTTTTTTNTTTTTTTTTTTTTTTTTCATTGTGAATGAAGCAAAATAAAATAGTAAAATATGCACTTGTAATAATCATCTATCATTTCTTAATATAACCCATCATTTCCGTAATTGTAATTTCCAATTTGATTTTGACTTTACACCTGCTATTATAGGGTTAAAGAGACTTAATATTTCTGATAGTATTTCCGATTTTGTTTATGTATTATTGAAATTAAAATAGACCAGACGATTTCGATTGTAAAATACCTGGTAATAGTATTTAAGAACTAATAATTAAACAGCAACAATCTCTGATTTATTTATCGAATCATTTTGTATGAATCTTTCGTAACTCTTCTTTTGTCTAAGAAGAAAATGTATGTTATGAGCAAAACTAACCCAAAACAAGCTACTAAAATTAAATAAATATACAAAAGAGTTTTTCTTTTTCAGACACATTTGAGAGAGTAAAAAAATACAACGTAAATAAACGAAGAACTAAGGAAACAACAATGTTAAAAACATTTTGACTACTACATTTTAGCATTAAAAAAATATGTACATTAATAAGGAATAATTATTTATAATACTTAAAGTTGATAAGTGGTGTTATAATAAGACAGGTTTCGTTTTAATTCGTTTAGATTAACTTGTATGATAGATGTAAAAGCATAAATTTGGATTTTAGGATGAATAAAATAGAGTAATTGGGATTAATATGATGTTTCAAGGAAAGGAAAAACATTTTAAAAATTCATTTATCTAATAAATAAAATAATTTCAATTCTAAAAAGTGATAAAAGTTTTCCTTTACAACCAATTGCACCACGGTAAACCCCCAAATTTTAAGGTTTTTGACTTCTAAATTCAGGC